TCCCTTCTCCCTTCTCCTGAGTCTGGACTATGGGGGGTTGGAATCAGATGATCATAAGGTCTTTTCCAACCTTAACTTTCCTATGATTCTTTAGATACCTTCAGAGCATGCAGTACTGATCGTTTGCAGCTCTGGGACCTCAGTCGGGTCCTGCCTACCCAACTGTCAGGCCAGGCCTGCTCACACCGCATGGCAGAGCACAGACACGCCTGTATCCTCCCATGAGCTCCAACCTACAAGGACACAGGCACAATCTCCACCACTCGCACTTGCCCAGCAGTGAGGATGTCACCAGCTCCATAGCACACCCTTGGGGTTTGGTGTGGCCCTGTCTGTGCTTCCAGCAAACACAGGCAGGGCAGGGGCACGGACCGCCGTGTGTATGTACAGGCTGTGGGCAGTGAGAGCGCACCCTGGGGCAAGGACATCCCCGGGATGCAGGATGGGTTGAGGGGGGTACCTGGTGGGGAAGGCAGGGAGGCTGCAGGGCCCCGGGGGCAGGGTCCCGAGCCCCAGCGCTCGTTCGCGTGTGCCCAGAGCCGGGGATTTTCCGTTCGCCGGCGCTGAGCGCTGCTCCGTGACCGTGACCTTCATCCCCGCCCAGGCGCGGCACCGCGGGGCCATCCCCGTGCGGGACCATCCCCGTGCGGGACCGCGGGCAGAGCCCCGAGCCCCGGCCGCAGCGCTGCTGCCTTGTTCCATTCCCCCTTCCACTCCCCATGTGCCCCCCCCGTGCCTCCCTGGGGCAGGCCCCGCTGCCAGCCCCAGCCGCTGACTCCTCTCCCCATAACACAAGTGAAGGGAGCAAAGGGGCTGCAGTGTCTGAGGGCAGACGTTGGCACCGACGGACATCCATGGGCTGCTCACACCTCACAGCATCACCGCTGTGCTCCGCACGGAAGCAGAGGGAGCTCCTGCCCCGTCGGTGCGCAGTGCTGGGCACAGACCCCTTCCACAGCACCATCCTGCTGCCACCCCTGATGCCCTTGGTGGAAGGGAGTCCAGCTCCCCTGCACAGGGTCCCATTGCCCCCAGCAGCGTGCCTGAGCAGAGGCTGCCCATGGGCCATGCCCCTCCTCGCAGCTTCCCACGATGTTCCTGGCAAGCGCAAATCACCTTGACTTTTGCTCTGAGACCTTGAAGGGCGCAGCCGGGCAGGGACCAGCGCTGCGCCTCTCTCAGGGCTGCTCCGCATCCGTCCTTCTGCAGGCGGGTTCTTTTCCACCGGTGCTTCCCCAGCACCCATGGCCTGGCAGTCACCGGTCACCCAGTCTGCCTCTCCCTCTGCCGACACAAGCGGGGATCGCAGCCCTTCACCCAGCTCAGACTCTGCCTGCAAAGCTCCCCCAGACCTTTCTGCTGCTCTCCTGCATCCCGATGGGTTTTAACCTCCGCTGCTGCAGGAGGAGCTGGGACTCACTGGGAGCAGTCAGAGACGTGAAACACCCACAGTGGTGCGAGGAGATGGGATGACCAGACCATAACCTTGCGGTGGTGTCCATCAGTGCTCCAGCTGATGGCCCCCAGGACGTGGAGGGGATGCTGCAATAGTACCCCCAGACCCAAGCTCCACACCGCTCTGAAGGCCCCAGCATGTGACAGGCAGAGCAGGGGGACACAGCAGCAAAGGAGCGTGATGCTCACCCCAAGGCAGGGAGAAATGGAGGTGATGGAGGGATTGAGCTGAGGTGAATGGAGAAACCAAAGAGGCAGTGCCCCAGAAAGAAGGTGGCAGATTTGAACATGGTTTATTAAGCATATGAGGGGGTTTGCACCAAGTTGCATGTATGCATTTGTGAGATGCAAGGGAACTTGGGGATGAAGTGGGCTCCAAAACCTGGTCCAGCCTCTGGGCCTCTCCAAACACCGCTCACCGCTTCCAGAGCATCGCTCTTCTTGTTCCAAGGAAAAGGAAAACCCTGCCCTTGCCCTAAGCTGAACCTGCCTCGTAGTTTCCCTGCTGTGAAATGGGGCCAAGTGTTCATGTTGTGGTTTAAACCTGTGGCTGCTGGGGCACACACAGGAGCAGAGCCTGAGTCCTGCAGCAGGATGCGAAGGCCACGGGGTGAGGGTTTGCTCAGCACAGTGTGGCCGTGCTGGGACCAGAGAGGCTTTTCTTGAGCTCTGGGGAGGAGCAGCAGAGGGGACCCCCAGGCTCCAAAGCATTTCCTGGCTCCTGCGTGCACCACGGTGTGCTGGGAACAGCAAGGTGGACATCACAGGATGCTTCCCCCCAAAACCTCCAACTGGGCTGGACCATTGCGTGCAGGGCCAGGCCAAGGGGAACGGCTTGAACCTGCCCGAGGGGAGACTGAGCTGAGCTCTTAGGCAGAAGCTCTTCCCTGTGAGGGTGCTGAGGCGCTGGCACAGGGTGCCCAGAGAAGCTGTGGCTGCCCCATCCCTGGCAGTGCTCAAGGCCAGGTTGGACACAGGGGCTTGGAGCAAGCTGCTCCAGTGGAAGGGGTCCCTGCCCGTGGCAGGGGTTGGAGCTGGAGGAGCTTTAAGCTCCCTTCCAACCCAAACCATGCTGTGCTTTCATGGTACCTGCAGGAGACAGGACCAGGAGTTAATTTTGGGGTGGGCACAAACCCTGGGCTCATCTCAGGGGCCAGCCCCAAGCCAAAGGCATGGAAATCGCACGGCAGCATCTTCATTCAGAGCACGGGGTTCCAGCAGTGGCGGGGAGCCCCTGCCCTGCCATCAGGTTTGCCCTGCACCGGCTTTGCCGTCTGTGTTTACCGTGTCCCCTCCCTGCCCTCTCCCCCCTTTCCGAGCAGCCACGGAGCGCACTGGAGCAGCGCAGGGCAAACAGGCGTGTTCCAGCCCTGTGACTGCCCTGCTCCCCCGCAGCCTGCGCTGTTTGGTGGAAACAAAAGGGAGACGTTCCCCTCCCTCCTCTCATTGCGTGTTTGGGCTCTGTCTGCCCCGAGAAACAAAGGCGCAGCAAGGTGAGGGGTCTGGAGCAGCTCACCCTGCCGAGGCTTGTGCCGTGCGGTGCTTGCGGCGGTCCTCAGGGGTCCATCAGCAGGCTGGAGCATCAGGGGTGATACTGATGTACTCCGGGTCTGTTGTCTGGCCTCCGGTCTGGGGACAGCCAAGGACCCACTGTGGTAGCTCCTGAATAGAGGAAGAGGAGCACCTCGGAAAGGCTTCTTGGGCAGCGATTCCCCGGTGACGGAGCCCGCCTGAGGTCACTCCCGTGCCGCTGCAGTGTCACCTTGCCCCAGTGAACTTTGCTGTTGTCTCCAGCCCCATGGCACACCCAGGCCTTGTGCAACGGCCATGAAATGAAACTAAAAATAGTGCCCTCTCCCAATGGGAAAACACCCGGCTGGGCCGGAACGGTGCTGGGTGCCAGCATCGCTCCTGGCAGGCGAGGAGCTCCCTCCTCCGAGCTGATGTGGGCACTGAGGAAGGACCTCATCCTCCTCTGGGCTCCTGCCCCATGCCCTGCCTTGCTTCTGTTCATCCCCCACTCAGCTCTGTCACCAGGAAGCGTGGCTCTCCCCCAGGCCTCACCAATGGCATCACTCAAGTGGGGACTGATGCCACCACCTCTCCCACCAGGCCTCTGCTCCTGTAGACCCCAGCAACAGCTGGAATCCTCCTTCCCCCATTGGAAATACCCAAATGAAGCTCATTCAATGAGATTCAAAGAGCAGCACCCAACTGCAGCAGAAGCATGTGGGACTGCATGTGAAGGCTGCAGGTTTCCATCAGCACCGTCACACACGATGGAGGGAGGCTCCAGCACAGGAGGGCTGAAGGGCTCGCACTGGGCTGAGCCAAATGCTTTGGGAGCAGAGACTCCTCCTGCCCCACACTGGAGAGACGTGGGGCAACGGGGGTTTACCCCAGCCCAGCCACGGTGGATGAGCACCAGGGGCCAGCTTTGCCCAGTGTGGTTTTGAGCAGAGCAGGAGCAGGAGCACAGCCACTGCTGCAGCCCATGGCAGCGCACATCCTGCTGCACTGTGCTCATACGCGCCTCTGCAAGGGGCAGCCTTTGCAAGCTGGGACTCAGTTTCCCTGTGCTGGCCCCAGGGCCTCGGCTCCTGCAGCTCCTCCTGACACAGCAAGAGGCCCACGTTCCCCTCGGAGCTCCGGGATGCCGGCCCAGAGGCCATTCTGGCTGCGGGAGGAGCAGGCACGGTGCCAGGCGGAGATGGAGGAGGCTGGTGGTTGCTGCCTGCAATGGGGTGAGGCATCCCAGCCCCTGCGAGGGGGACACAGTCCTTGAGCTCCCAAAGCTGGGGGTAGCCCCGCTGCTTCAAGCCTGGCACCTATCCCCATGGGCTGCCATGTCCCCAGAGGGGACCATGGTGCCTCCAGGCCCACAGGGAAGAGGTGACAGCGCAGGGAGAATAACGGGATGGGGAACAGGAGACTAGGACAGAGGAGAAGTGGTGGCCATGGGGACAGGCAATGGAAATGGGGAAAGACATAATGAGTATGGAGATGTCCTAGGTATGGGGGGTCAGGGGCCTGTCCCAGGAAGGAAATCAGCAGGAAAAGCAGCAGCAAACCTTGGGTGAACTGGGCCAGCAGATCCCACACCCTCATGTGGTGACGAGCATGGCCTGAAGCCAGCCAGTCCTGCCTCTCACTGCACTGCCCAGGGCAGCCCCATTACCCCTCCAGCCCTAAGGAGCTGGTCCGGACATCCAAGGGCATCCCAAGTCCAGGCTGAGTGTGCAGGGGATGTGCCACACACTGCCACTGCTGGACCTTGGGCATCCTCAGTGCTGCCTGCCTGTGGGCAGCGGGTGGGAGGCAGCTGAGCTCAGCAGCCCATCGGCAGTGCCAAGCCATGAGCATCCTTCACTTGGCTCGTTCTGGGGGGATGCTGGGGACACATTGAGGGGTCCCATCCCTGGAATTGTTCAAGGGCAGGTTGGAGAAAGCTGCTCTAGTGGAAGTTGTCCCTGCCCATGGCAGCGGGCTTGGAACTGGATGGTCTCTAAGGTCCCTTCCGATCCAAACCAATGATCCTATGCTGGAGGGTGTCGCTGGGGGATGCCGAGCTCCCCACCCCGTGTGCTGGCGCATCCAAGCAGAGCTTGGCAGGCTCCCATGGAGCGGGTGGGTGACCAGCAGAGGGCCTGGCTCTGCCGATCCCCAGCGCCGCTCTTATTGAGCCCAGCGCCCTCCGGAGAGCCCAGAGCAGCAGCGGACGCTGGACAGAGCGGCCGCTCCTCGGCACGGCTCCATCGCTGCCGGCAGCGCCGGGGTCCCTGCGCTCGGGGCTGCGCTGTCTCCCACCACACGCTCCCTCCAGAGGGGACCATGCCTTCTCCGCTGCCGCTTGTCCTCCTGCTGCTGATGCTGCCGGTGCCAGGGGCTGTGGCAACGCGAGGCAGAGCTGGGCAGGCTGGGGAAGGCAGCAGCCACCATGGGCAGGGCGAGGATGGAGGCAGGACCCGGCACGATGCGGGGATGCAGGTGATGGAGCGGCTGCGCCGGGGGACAGAGGAGGACTCCAAGTCGGTGCAGCAGTACGTGCCGGGGGTAAGGGTAGAGTTCCCCCGGCCCCTCAACTCCGCCAGCCTGCACCCAACCAAGGCCCTGCTGCCATCCAGCACGGACCAATCTGAGCAGCAAGAAGGGGTCCCCACAGACAGAGGAGGGTCCGAGCCTCGAGCCAACCTCACCACCGTGTCCGACAAGCGGCTGCAGATCCAGAACCCCTTGTACCCAGTGACGGAGAGCTCCTACAGCGCCTACGCTGTGATGTTCCTGTCCCTCATCGTCTTCGCAGTGGGCATCATCGGGAACCTCTCCGTGATGTGCATTGTGTGGCACAACTACTACATGAAGAGTGCCTGGAACTCCATCCTGGCCAGCCTGGCCTTTTGGGACTTCCTCATCCTCTTCTTCTGCCTGCCCGTGGTCATCTTCAATGAGATCACCAAGACCAGGCTGCTGGGGGACGTGTCTTGTCGCATCGTGCCCTTCATGGAGGTAAGGCAGAGCATGGGGTTGGGGGGGGGGCTCAGCTGCCCCTCTGCTCTGGGGGCATTCCATTGCCTGGTGAGAGGGCTCAGTAAGGACCTAAGGGATGGTTCCCATTTTCACCTCCCTTTGCCTCTGCCCTGGGCCGTTCTTCAGGCTCTGCCCCCAGCACCAGGCCTGGGTAGAGCCCATGAAAGCCTCATTTGCCCAGCCAGGGCACTCCTGGGTCTGTCCCTGTCCCTCAGCCCGTGGGCTCAGCCCCACCGTGTGATGGCCAGCACTGGCTGTGATGAGTGCTGAGGATGGCCCCACGGCAGGGGGCTGCAGCTGGGGTGGGAGAGACAGGGAATCAGGTTTGAGAACCGGAGATCTTTGCTTGTCCCCAAGCCTCACCCCTGATGGGTTTGGGAGGAGCTGGGGACCCACTGGGAAGGCTGCAGGGTGACAGGGCAAGGCAGAATGAGCAAAAATGCCCCCCGATGGTGTCATTGTGCATGGTCCTGCTCTTGGGTTGAAAGCAAACCCTTGCTGTGGGGCATCTCCCACCCTGCAGGGACGTGGGATCAGGCTGCTCTCCTCCCTTCCCATGTCTGACAAACAGACCCAGCCTGCTCTGTGTGCTGTCCAGGGCTCCAAAACCTGCTTTATCAAAGAAGGGGGCAAGCACAAGGCTGGAATTGATCAGAGACAGTGTCAGGTCTGCCCTCCCAGAGCATCACCATGGTGACCTTCTGTCATCACCAGACCTCTCTGTGCCCATCACCAGGACTCAAGCCTGCTCAGCGAGCAGGCCTTGGCACTGATGGAGAAAACCCCATTTAGCTCAGCCATCGCAGGCAAAGGAATGGCCCCAAACCAGTCCCCATCCTGAGGATGTTCTGCCATGGCCTTTCCCCGAGGCGCTACCCAGGCATCCTGCAGAGCCCTGGGAGGTTTCCTGGGAGCCGGGAAGGTCCCTCAGGAGCACGGTGGGATGCTGCGTGGCACCAGCATGTGACTGCCGCTTCCCTAGCCAAGGGCTGTGGGACTTGGCTCTGAGCAAAGCTGCAGCTCTGGGGCTGGGACCATGAATGCTGATTGTGCCCCTCGGTGCCTTGCCAGCCCTCGCAGAGCCACCGCGCTTCCTCTGCCTCCTTTGGCCTCTTCCCTTTGGCAAAGGGGATGTTTTTCCTGCCGCTCTCAATGCAGAGGAAATTGCCCCAAGCTGCTTGGTCACAATGGTGCCTTCAGCTCCTTTGGCCTTTCCGGGAAGCAGAGCAGCACAGGGCCACGGTAGCCTGGGGCAGCTGGGGAGATGCTGTTTGATGCGATGGGTGCTGCCATCCACAACAGAGGAAGAGCCTGGGGGACAGCTCTGCCATTCCCACCCTGGCTGGGCACAGGAGAGCAGAAACGGGAGCTGGGCAGGGATGTTTTGATCCACTGCCATTCAGGAGTCACAGGAAGGTGGCTTCAACCCTGGGATGCAGCCACAAGCTCTGACCTCTCCACAGCCATGGAGGAAGGGTCTTTGGGGCAGCCAGGGTTTTGCCACAAGCCTGGTAAATCAAACCCCCCCCCACCTTGTTCTGCCTCCCCTTCGCCAGGTATCGTCACTGGGAGTCACCACCTTCAGCCTCTGCGCCTTGGGCATCGACAGGTTCCATGCGGCCACCAGCCCGCAGGCCAGCACCCGGCCCATTGAGCAGTGCCAGTCCATCATTGCCAAGCTGGCCGTCATCTGGGTGGGCTCCATGACGCTGTCGGTACCGGAGATCCTGCTCTGGCAGCTGGCCCAGGACACATCACCCGTGTCCGGTGTGGCGATGGAATACTGCACCATGAAGCCCTCGTCCAACCTGCCCGAGTCCGTGTACTCCCTGGTGCTCACCTACCAGAACGCTCGCATGTGGTGGTACTTTGGGTGCTACTTCTGCTTGCCCATCCTCTTCACCGTGAGCTGCCAGCTGGTGACCCGCAGGATCAGCGGCACCGAGAAGAAGACCGAGTGCCGAGGGAGCAAGCACAGCCAGTGCGAGCGTCACTTGAACTGCACCATCATCGGGCTCACCGTCATCTACGGGCTCTGCACCACCCCGGAGAACGCCTGCAACATCGTGGTGGCTTACATGTCCCCCGACATGTCCAAGCAGACCCTGGATCTGCTCAACCTCATCAACCAGTTCTTCCTCTTCTTCAAGTGCTCAGTGACGCCTGTGCTGCTCCTGTGCCTCTGCAGACCCCTGGGCCAGGCCTTCATGGACTGCTGCTGCTGCTGCTGCGAGGGCTGCAGCCCTGACACTGCCTCCAGCGAGGGCAGCGCTGACAGCAAGCTCAAAACGGAGATGTCCTCCTCTATCTTCTTTGACAAGCCCCGGGAGTCCCCCCCACCCCTCCTGGCCCTCGGCACCCCTTGCTAAGCGCCAAAGGGGAGCTGTAGCGATCGTTCCACCACCTCCTCCCAAGACCAAACGTTGTTTCGCCGTTAGTGCCCGTGTCTGGACGTGGAACCAGCAGAAGGAGCTGCCCCCTGGGCTTCAAACCCCACACTGGGGCAAGTGAGGCTTGAAAGCCCGGTCTCTATGGCTGCATCGGTGGCCTTCTTGCCTCTGCCCAAAGGCCAGCAAGGGCATCAGCACCCTCCCGTCCTGGCTGCCTGGCCAGGCTCAGAGGGGTTGCTGCTCTGGAGATGGAGTTGTGCCAGAGAGGTCCCATCTGATCCTATGGAGGGTTTCCACGGAGGCTTGCAGAGGACACAGCAAACACAAACTGCCCTCGTCCTGTCCCGTCCCCTCCCGCCCGCCCCCTCCACAGTAGGAGGTCCCAGTGACTGTATCCCACCGAGCGGTGCCCTGTAAGAGCTCAATAAACCAGTAACCTAGAGCATGCCATGCATCACCAGCCTGGCACTGCCGAGCAGAGCCCTGGGGAGCCGCTGCTTGGGGTTTGGATCGCTCTTCCCTAAAACCTGTGGGCTCTGGGGTGGGCATTAGGGCAGGAAAGCAGCCATGCCAGGTCAGGCAGCACCTGAAGGAGATGGGGAAAGGCCCCAGCTGCCCCTCTGCCCATCCCCTGGAGTGATGCTGGTGCCAAGCCAGCCCCTGAAGGGTCTCCTCCAAACCACTGGTCTTTGGGTGGTTTGCAGGGCTCAAACTGGTCCCAGTAAAGGCCAGCCCAGCACCGGGCAGAGATGCTCTGCAGCCTGTAAGGAAGCCATCTCCCTCCCTGCACCACGCAGAACCAAGGTGCTGCTGCTACACGGTGCTGCCGTGCAGTACCGGGGGGCAACATCCTGCCGTGGGGTGAAGCATCTCATCCGAGCAGCACCGTGCAGGGCTCCCTGGCCCGTTGCGGGGACCAGTCCCAGCACCTCCGTTTCCAAGCTCCCGCACCCAGGAAGGGCTTCAGGGAGCAGCGCAGGCAGCGCGATAGGGCTGGGGGCAGGCGGCCCCGTCCGCTGGAGCTGTTAAAGCTCCTTGTCCTGCCGCTGGCACTCGCCCAGCACACGAAATGCCGGGGCGAGGGAGACGGTTGCTACGGGCGGGTGAATGCGAGCGGCTCAGTGCGGGCTTTGTGCGGCACCGACACCCACCGCGCTTCGCTTTCACAGCCCCGTTGCCAGGGAAACAACAGCCCCAGTTTTCTTCAGAGAGCACAAAAATGGGTTCTTTCCTTCCCTCCCCCCCCCCCGCATCACTGCTGGGCCCCACACTTTGGGGGCAAGAAGAGGGGTCTCATCCTGGCGCGGGGATGGAGGGAGGGGAGCGGAGGCCGGGATGCTGCCATGCCCGCATCCCCCCCGCGCCCCCACGGGCTCTCGGTGGCAGTGGGAGGGAAGGAGCTGGGGGCATCTCCTGCGCTGGGTCCGCGCTGCTCGGTCCTGAGCCCGCGCCAAGCAGGAACAAAGCCGGGCTTGTTGCTGTGTCCCTGCGGGGATGGATGTGTGGGGAGGAGGAGGACAGCGGGGCGGGGGGGGGCAAGGAGGGCGCAGGCAGCACCACACGGCCCCATAGCAGGCAGAGCACCCCATAGCGCGGATACCGGGCAGGCTGGCACAGGGCACAAAGCACAACGCCGAGGGGGGGGGATGTTGATGTCAGCGCAGGGGGGATGCAGGGGGCACAGGATCACTGAGCACTGGCCCCAAGAGGGAGCTGGTGTGGGCAAGGAGATGGGGTAGGGGCCCTGCAGCAGCCCTGCTCCAAACCCAGCATCGCAGCAGGACACAAGTGGGGGCAGAGGGAGGTCCAGCAGCAGCGATGGCTGCATCCGGAGCATCTCCGAGCTCACCTTCGCACCCAGAGCCGTGCAGAGCCATCAGGGTTGGCAGCACTGTGGTGACCATGGAAATGGGGAGCAGGGACCCTGGCCCGATGAGGGGCACAGGAGGGATGGGCCTCACCCTAGTGAGGAAGCAACGTGACAGCAAGCACCCCCCCAACGCAAAAGTGTTAATTTATTATCATTAGGGAGGAAAAAAATTGTACAGTAACAAGAGTCATTTCCCAACAGAGGTCAAATCTGAGCCAAAATATCTCTTAAAAACAACAACAAAAAAAAAAAGGGGGGGGGAAGGGGGGGTGACGACACTTTACAATTCATTAAATTAAAAAAAAAAAAAGAAAAAAAGAGAAGGAAACCTCTCTTTGTGCAATTCTGCAAAAACAAGAAGAGAAAAGAGGAGCCCCCGGCCTCACCATGGCTGGGAGAGGGACCCTGGGGCCACCCCCCTCTGCCAGCACTGCTGGGGTCACTGCTGCCTCCCGCTGTGCTGCTGACCTGACCCACTGCCTCATCACCACATCCCCAGCCCTGTTAACCCCCCCCAGCCTGCACCTGCAGAGGCCCAACAACAGCACCGATGGGCACAGCCTCCCTCAGCCCCACTCCGTTTCCTCTCCTCTCCCCACCTGCAGAATGGACTCAACCGTGCCCATGTCCCCCCAGGCAGGGCAGTGCTGGCAATGGCAGCATCACCCCAGTGCTACTGGGGGGGCGGGCAGCCTGGCTCCATGCATCCCTCCCTCCCACCCTGTGTCCCTGTGCAATGTCCTTGGCCAGCAGCCCCCAGTCAGGGGCAGGAGATGTCTTGTGAGGAGACAGCACAGCTGAGCCCCCTCCGGGGCAGCGAGAAGGCAGGAGCCAGGCCCCTGCACCCCACAGGGCTGTTGGCATCGCTGTCCCCCGCTGCACTGGCACCATCCCCTCACATTACACAGCAGAGCAGCAGCACTGGGCAGCAGGGCAGGATGTGGGCCAGGCACGTGGACTGGGACTGGGGGGGAACACACAGGGCAAGGGGATGAGCAGCCCAGGGCATCGAGCAGGGTTGGGGCAGCGGCTCAGCAGCCAGAGGCAATGCAGGGGGAGGCTGTGGGTTGTCACTAATCCCTATGGGAGAGGAACGTGGGGTTGGCATCACCTCCCCTGCAGCCCTGCCCGAGGGAGGAGGGGGGGGGGCATGCTCCCAACACCCCCAGGATGCTCTGTGCAGGGGAAGGGACAAGGGAGCCCCAGGGGACCTGCCCACAGCCTGGCACAGCCCCATCCCCAAGGGGCTGCTTTCTGCCACCCCCTTGCTCCCAGTGCTGAGCCTCAGCCAGGCTTGGGGAGCCCCCAGCCTTCCTTCTGCTCCGAGGGCCCAGTTTAGTAACAGCACTACGGCTTAAATTAAAAACTTGAAGTATATATACATATATATATAGTGTATACCCAGACAACAACCGAAGAGGGCCAGAACGGGAGGGAGAGACAGAGAGGGGAGAGGAGGGCGGCTGGACATTCTCTTTACAATAAAAACAAGGGCTCCACCTCAACGCGAGCGGAGTCTGGGGTCCCCTAAAAATACCCATCTAGAGAGAGAGCTGAAGGGACAGAGGAGAAGAGAGAAGGGGCATGGGCTTGTACAATGGCATCTTCCCGATGTGAACCGCAGCCTGCGGGATCTCAGCTTCTCCTGGACTTCGAGTGCTGGATAAGCCACTGTAGGGTGATGTCTGTGAAGGCAAGAGGAAACCTACAGCAAGAGGAAACCTACAAACCCTCCTGTACCTGGGCAAAGAGCCAGGGGCTCCCCCCATGCCCAGCCCCGCAGGTACTCACCGATGTTGTCCTTTTCTTTGCAGGAGATGGAGTAGCAACAGATCTCTCGGTCCTGGATGGCAGAGAGGTTCCTGCAGGGAGAAACGAGCTCTGGCTGCAGACCCCCATGGCCGTGCACTGGCAGGGATGGGAGATGCTTCTGGGGAGCCTCTTGAGGGGTCCCTCTGCACCTCAGCTCCAAGACTGGGGACAGCGATGTCTCCCCAGGCTCCCACATGGGGTTGAATGGGGACACCAGCACACTGTGCCTATGACTGATGGCCAGGCACAGCCTGTGGGGGGTAATGTGATGGGGCAGGAGGGACCCAACCCCATGGGGAGCCCGGCTACAACCACACTGCTTCCCTCCCTAAACCTTGGTTGAACAGCCCTGGAGCGAGACAGGGCAGGGAGGGCTTGGGAGCTGCATCGGTGCTAAAGGGGCAGGGGAGGTCTCCAAGGGGTGGTTGGGGGTCAGCACAGCATCCCAGGCCCCTGTCTGCAGGGCAGGGGATAGCTGCTGGCAGGAGGAGCATCTGCTGCCGAGAGGATGAGTGAAATAAGGGAGAGCTACGTGGATGGTGTCGCACCCCAAAGCAGGAGCCAAGCACCGAGGGCTGCCCATGGAGCAGCACCAGCACCAGGCAGCGGGGCACAGCTCTGAGGGTGATGGGAGCTCAGCACCAGCACCAGCACCAGCGCTGTGCAGCCCCAACGCCACCGTGTGGCAGGCAGGACCCAGGCCTCGCACTGGCAGCAGCAGCTCCCAGCTCCTCCCTGACCCCACAGGCACAGGGACGTCACCTCCGCCTTAGCGTGTCCCCAGCCACGGGTCTGTGCCCACCGCAGGCACCGCAGTGCGGCCCCAGCTGGGGAAGGAGCTCAGTGGGGTGCCCGTGCTGGGTACCCGGGGGCTGTGTTCAGCTCAGGGGCCCCCAGTGCAAAGGGGGTGTGAACCTGCTTGAGAGCCCAAAGGAGGCAGTGATGCTGCGAGGGCTGGAGCAGCTCTGCTCTGGAGCCAGGCTGAGAGAGCTGGGCTGGGGCAGCCTGGAGAAGAGAAGGCTCCTGAAGGGGAGACCTTAGAGCAGCTCCAGTGCCTAAAGGGGCTGCAGGAAACCTGGAGAGGGGCTTGGGACAAGGGCCTGTAGGGACAGGCCAAGGGGAATGGCTTGAACCTGCCCGAGGGGAGACTGAGCTGAGCTCTTAGGCAGAAGCTCTTCCCTGTGAGGGTGCTGAGGCGCTGGCACAGGGTGCCCAGAGAAGCTGTGGCTGCCCCATCCCTGGCAGTGCTCAAGGCCAGGTTGGACACAGGGGCTTGGAGCAAGCTGCTCCAGTGGAAGGGGTCCCTGCCTGTGGCAGGGGTTGAACTTTAAAGGGGCTGAAATTCCAACCTAAACCATTCTATGACTGATCCTATGGCATGGCAGAACAAGGACAATTCCACAGTGTCACAGCCCCGCTGTGGCTGCAGGGCCACCGGACACTTACATCTTCTCAATGAGCTCTTTCTCATCCAAGGCACCGGGCAGGTCTCGCTTGTTCCCCAGGACTAGGACCTGCAGGGTGGGAGAGGGGACACCTGAAGCTCCTGGCCAGCAGACCAGGCAGGAACCTGCTTCTGCCACACAGAAGTGACCCTGCTTGAGACACAGGACAGCCCTGGCTGCTTCTATAGGTTCTGCCCGGATGCAGAAAAGCCCTTCAGCAGGCAATCAGAAGGCAGAGCACTTGCATTAACAGCCATAATTAGCGCATGCACAGCATCCCTGATGCACTCCCTAGTCCCAGTGAGAAGCCAGCCCCACAGCACGCTCTCCCATAAGGGCACGAGTGTGTGCTGTGCCACCAAGGATGCTCTCCCAGGAGCCTCCTGCAGTCTTTGGGCCAGAAGTCAAGTGAGACAGCCAACCCCAGCGTTACTGGGGAGCAGTGAGACGTGGATGCCGCGCAGAGCCTGCTCTCTGCAGGCACCATCCCCTGATCTCTGCTTCTTCCAAGGCTTTCCACAACCACAAAGGAATCCTCAGACTCTGTGAGGAAAATCATCCCCCGGCAGGCCTGGTGCATCCCTCCGGAGCGCACCACGCGCCTGTCATCTGACAAGGACAGCCAGGGCCTCTGCAGCAGCACAGGAACGCAGCATCCCCCAGCTCAAACCAGGAGCATCCAGAGGGGCTGTGAATGCAGTGCGTTATGTCAGGAGCTTAATTTAGTTGGCAGTGAATGTTTGGGATCTGTGCAAGATCCTCAATCGCTTCCTTTCAAAGGATGCTGATTTTGGATGCTCCGTAAGCACCCGGGCACGAGCAGCACATCCGGCACTGCCGCCACATCCCACCTCCTGCAAACGCCACAGCCCCGCAGCCGCTCTCATAGGAGATGAGACCTTAATGTCCCACTCTAAATAAGGTGCAAGTTCATGTGAGGGGACAGATGTCACACACTGGGATGCGTCTATGGGTCTGGTCTCTTTTCAAGCTCCCTTCGCTGTTTGTTGGTCCAGCCCTGGACCAGAAACCATCATTCCCCCAGCTCTCAGAGGAGTGCAGCAGCAAAGGGGAGCCCCCCACAAAGAAGGGGATCCCCATCCCAAATCTGCTTTGCAAAATGCCAGCCCCCCCTTACTGCAAACCCTGGCAGCCACCAGCCTGGGGACCACAAGCAGATGGGGGGGGACCTATCCTGGCAACAGCTCACCGGGATGCCCTGGAGCTGTGGCTTGTCGAGCAGGTTGTGCAGCTCATTCTTGGAGGCCTCTATCTTCTCCTGGTCGGCGGCATCCACCATGTACCTGCAAGGGAAGGGACATCCCTGAGTGCAGGCAATGAGGTCTCCACACCCTGGCGCTGTGCTGAGGTCTGTGCCACAACCAACCCTTGCTCATACAGCAGCTGCAACCCCCCCCCAGGCTCCTGGGACAGTGCATGGAGGTGATGGATAACAGCATCCTTCCCCCAGCACCCCTCTTCCCAAGGAAGACTGTGGGGCTGAGACCCACTCGTGTCTCCCAGGGCAGTGGGGACTTCCCTGTCCCCATCCCTGCAGGGGTCCACCCCACTGACAGCAGGGATATGGTGAGCAAAGGAAGACCAGGCACTGCCCAGGCAGAAGAAGCTGCAGGACACACATTGCCCTCAAGGCTCATCTGTATGTGGCAGCTCCTATCCAGAAGAGAGGATAACAAGTGGAGAAGACAAGAGGAGCTGATGATGAAGAGACCCAGGAGTGGGGAGAGGACCTGCTCATCCTCTTGATGGGAACTATCTTGGGCACGAGGCTTGGGCCAAAGGGCACGTGAAGCCAGAGTCAGCAATGCTTGCTCTGAGCAGACGGGGGGAGATTTAGGGAAGGATTTAGCTCTTTCAGGTGATGCTCATCCTGCAAAGGACATGGAGGAAGCCCAAACTGGGGAGAGGAACTGATTAAAGTGGCCTTTAGTTTAAAGATCAAGAAGCTGGGAGAGAAGAAGTGAGAAACATCATCAAGCTTCCACAGGCCTTGTGGGCTTCATTGGAAACAGGAAAAGAGCCTTTAGCTACTGAAGTGCTGAACGCAGGAAAAGGTGCATGGCTGTACCAAGAGGGAGAGGGGAAAATCCCACCCAGGCACTGTCAGGAGCCTCCAGCATCCTGGGCAGGATGGGAGGGCTGAAGGTAAGGGCAAAGGGCCGTGAGGCAGCTCAAGGCAGACTGAGGCGTGACTGGGTTGCTCACAGGTCCCTATGGGTCCCTCTGTTTTCCTCTCAACCAGATGGGCCACCAGAAGAAGAATGGGGTTATGGAAGCAGGCAAAATAAATCCCCCCCTAATGGCACTCTGTCATTCCCAGCACAGCTCACTGCAATGAAAGAGGTGTTGAGGTGTGTGCCATGGGGATGGTCAGCAAGGGCAGGAACAGACATTGATGTCCCAGCAAGCAGAACAAGTGGTCCCTTGCTGCTCCCCACCTGCCAGACCTGCAGCTGGGAAAGGCAGGATGGAAACCCAGCCTCCCAAACCCCAGAGCACAGCCAGCTGGTGAAGATCACACAGATCTGATCCTTATCATTGGGTCGAAGTAACTGATGTGGTCTCCCAGGGTTAAATACCTGACCTCAGGAGCAGCCAGCCTGCTTCCCATTGAGGATTATCCCCAGCCTGCACTCCCTAGGACTGCACTTGCTGCAGTGGTTGCAAGCAGGGGATGTGGGAAAGCTGACAGTCAGTAGCAGGCAGTGCACAGGGTACTCCTCTCAGCACAAGATCCATCCAACAGCACATAATCAGCATGACCTGGATGCTTGCTTCTGGCAGCCGCCCTTAAAACCAGCCTCTTAGAAAGGGCTGAGCCACAGCGATGGTGCTCAGCCCCTGTGATGAACAGGCAGCCCAGGGCAAGCACAAGACCCAGGAAAGGCAAGACCCAAGGGACAGAGTGATGCTGGAAGGGAAGCATCTCCCACAGCTGGCAGGGACCTGGCTCCCCTGTGCTCAAAGGGGGGAACCATTCCCATGGGGAAGCATCTCAACGCCCAGCACAAGCCCCCTTGGGTGGGGTGATGGGACTGTGCCTGCACCCACTGGTGGGGCTCAGCACCAGGGATGGGTGACGGGGCTCCCAGGGGTACTCACACGATGGCACTCACTCCACGGCAGTACCTCTCCCACATGCTGCGAAACCGCGGCTGGCCACCGATGTCCCAGAGCTGTCACAGGGAGAAGGTGACGTTACCCCTGCCCGTGACCCTTCCTCACCCTCATCCAAACCCACCTCATCCCCTCCCCTACAGCTCAAACAACCCAAGAACCAAAGGAGACAGCCCAGGAAGGGCAGCGGGTAGAAACCTCCTCTCCCTTTGCTACTGAGGCAGAGACCACCAGTGCAAGCCGTGACCCATCTTTCCCTGTGCTCCCACCCTCAGCAGGGTGACCACATCCATGAATCCCCACCAGCAAGGCAGAGGTGTAAGGACACCTCCAGCTTTGCAGCCCAGACTTGCTCCCACTGCAGAGGTCTGGATCTCCTGCATCTCTTCCCACCATCTCCTCTGGTGGGTACCTGCAAAAGCCTAACAGGGCAGATGGCAGCTGCAGCTGGGGCTGCTCGCATCCTTCAGCCTCCAGCAGAACACCCCCCAATCTCCCTTCCCTCCCATCTTTCCTCCCAGGAGCCCCCAGCAGCAATAACATCTGCACCTTACCTTTATGGTAACGTTCCCCTTGGTGATCTTCCTCATGTTAAAGCCCACTGTCGGGATCATGTCTTCATTGAACTGTCCTGACTGCAAGGAACAAGGTGAAACAGCGTTAGGAGGCACGGAAACCCCATCAGTGTAGCACAGCCCTCCTGGGCCATACCAGGAGCAGAACCAGAGCCACAGGGACCCCCCCCCCAGGGCAGCCACCTCCTGCATCAGCTCCTTTCTGGCCACGAGTCCAGAACCAGGCTGACTTCTGCTTTCCTGCAAGCCTGCACGGCTCCTCCACCCCTTGCCATGTGCCTGCACTGGGTGATGGGGGACTCAAATCCTTCCTCTTCCCCTACCCAGGAGATGCCGAAATGCTCCCTCCAGCATCACAGCTCCGAGCTGCATCCGGCAGGAGAAGCACGGAATCACCATGGCTCTGCAGCATCCCAGTGCTGCCATCAGTCTGGGTTATCCTCCCGGTGTGCAGAGCAGGACCTGTCCCTGTGCCGCTGTGCTGGGATGCAGCTCGCCAGCCCACGTGCTCAGCACCATGCTGATGGGACAGGATGGTGCTGGTCTGTTAAACCCCCCACACCACCTTCCAGTTTGCTGCTCAAATCCCAATGCCTGGGCTGAGCAGCACAGGGGTTGCTCCGGGTGGCCTCAGGCATCCCAGCCCACAGCCCTCCATCCTCTGCCTCCTTCATGTTTAAATGCATCCCTATGGAAGGCCCCACTGGGGGAGAAGATAACCAGGACAAGATGGTTCTGAGGCTTTTGGCCATCAGTGCCAGCAGCCTGCAGGTACCAACTGCAGCTGAACTCAGCAGCTCTTTACCAGCTTAAAACCTCCGGTTTCTCCAGGACTTCTGTGGGCTTTGTTTCAGTTAACACAAACCTGGAGCAGGGAAGGCAGCATCACCACTTCCGTGCCTGCTTGAGCCAACGGCTCCTCCAGACACAGCACACCAGCAAGGCCCCAGGGTTTTCCTGGCCTCTTCCACCCGTTGTGCAATACGTGCTGCTTCCCTTTTTCATTTCCCTTTTGTGTCCATCAGCAAAGCCTGGCAGCTGAGGGGTCTCCAAGCCAGAGTGAAAGCAGAAACCACGCCAGGGACTGGTGGGGAAGGGCACAGGGAGAGAGAAGCAGGCAGGAAGCCATCTATCATCTGCCTCCTGCAGAACGAGGCTCCAACACACAACCTGGCTTTATGGACCAGGTTTTAAGGAATGATGAGGCTTTAATCAGAAGACATAGGGAGCAATTGCTGAAGAACTCTTGGAAGCTGCAGATGCCTCCATTGGGGATCCCAGACCACACCATGGGAGCTGCTGGCTGTGTGAAAGCCACCCGAGCCATGGCTCACATGTGATGGTAGCTCTTCCAGGAGCCAGGAGTCATCTCTGCTTTCCCCCTCAAGAGATGGCAATAAGCATAGCTCCATAAGCAAAGTATGGCCTTGTTCCCTGCCCCAAATCCTTCTCCCAGCACAGGGCCTGCCTCCAGACTGCCCACAGCCAATGGGCCAAACCAAACCCACCCATGCTGTCCAAAAAGACCAGGCTGGGATCGTGACATGTTGTGGTCCAGGGCAACTTGCATGGGGTTCCTGCTGTCCTGGCACCTGCAGGAGCATCCTCAAGGAGCTGCAACATGCTCAGCTCCTTCTGCATTGGCCACGCTCTGAAAGCAACAGTGGAAACACAAGGTCTCCTTTTCCCTCTCCAACTGTCCTAGATGCTGACACGTCTGTGCAGTGGGGCTGTGATGAAGGGACCCGTGTCAGCCAGACCCCACCGCTGTGACCAAGCTGGACAAATGCAACCCTGCAGGACAGGGATGGGCACCCCAATGCCCTCCACCTTAAAGAAGATGGTCTCACCACCAAGACCTGCAATTAACATCCACGGTCTGGCCCTGCAGCACCCCTGCAGCATCCCTCAGCATGGGAATGTAACATCTGAGGACAGCTCCTGGATGTGCTCCTGATGATGCTCCCAAAGCTGAAGGGGACTGAGCTGCCCTCCCTGACCCCAAGGGCTCTATCTCAGCTGCAAAAACAGGACAGACACATGGCCACATGGCAAGACACCCCCAGCACCTCCCAGGGATGTGCGATGCAGCCCTCATATCCAAAGGGGAGAAGGCATCTCTGTGCAAGAGCTGCAGGCTCCATCCAGACAGAGCCCACAGCTATCTACTGTGCTAGCTCTTGCTCAGGATGTGTCCATAATGAGGGAGCATCAGGACCAGGGGTGGCCACACAAAGTGCTGGATGCTCTGGAGTGACCACTTGCTGATGGCCCAGGCTTTGGGGTGCTGGATGCGCGCAGCCCCCACCAGCCCCAGCACTACCTGATGGCAGCACAGAGTCTGTCAGAGAAAAGCAAAAGCCTCTGGATGTTGTCAAGGCACCGAGAAGCTCAGGGAATGATGCAGGGCAGCATCGAAGCAGAGCTGCTCTGCACCACACATCCCAAGCCAACCCTGCACCGCAGGAGCAGCAAGCAACACCTTTGGAGGATCCCAAATCCTTTGGGACAAGGCACAGCACTCCTTTAAAGGACCCGGCTGCTTGAGGCTCATGCTACCCTTCCCCTTCCCAGTCCTACTGATGCTCACTGGGGCTGCTTTCAACTCCATGCCCTTCGAAGCACAAAGATGACAATGCTCCTCAATGAGCCGGTGTTTGCCACATCCAGAGCTTGGGTCATGCCAAGGGGGGAGTTCAAGGACTACACCTGGGTTGCTCGGGATGCGGCAGTGCTCTCACCCAGCAGGCAGCATCCACACCATGGGCCATGGATGCTTGCATGGCCAGCTCAATGCACCCCCCCCTGCACCCAGCGGAGCCCATCCAGGGGCATGGAAGGCCCAAAAGCCATCACCTGGGTGCATCTGCACCGGATGGGGCAGTCGCTGTTCCCAGTTGCCCCAGCACCAGCCCTGGCAAGGACACTCCAGCGAGTCATAAGCGCAGGTCTCACCAGGGAAAAGTGGCCTCTAAGCCCTGGCTTGGAGACCCATGGCTGGGGCTCAGGCTCCCAAACACATGCAGGCACACAGAAGAGAGAGACCCTTGCCCTGGGCCATAGTCAGAAACCCAGTCTGGAAAGACAAGGCAGAGGGCACAGCCGAATGTACTGACCAGCAGCCTGCTGACACTTCCTATCCCCTTATCCCTGTGTTTTCTCCTGTCTGTTCCCACATACACCCCAGAAGAAGCTGTATCCAGTGCCAAGGTGCTTCTCCCCTGCTGTCCTTTGGGTTTCCCACCATGCCTAACTCTGACAGAGCCTGCAGCAGCAAGGCAAGACCATGCTCCAGCCATCGCACTCTCTTCCAGAAACAGGGAGAGCCCCAGGAAAATGCACCACTATAAAGCTCAGGTGCAATGGAAGCAGCAGCCAAGGGCCCAGACTCTGCATCTGGGATAGAACAACCACTCAGCACCCGGATACACGTGTACCTCCCACCCCATTCTGGCCAGGGGCATGAGCAGTTAATCAGGCAGGTGAAAATGCATCAGTATAAGGTGTCCTTGCTTCTCCCTCAGCATCTCCAGCAGTATCTCTCCTAGAGCAGCTCCTGTATGGAGCCAGGATGAGAACATTGGGGCTGTTCAGCCTGGAGAAGAGAAGCTGCGTGGGGACCTTAGAGCAGCTTCCAGTGTCTGAAGGGGGCCTATAGGGATGCTGGGGAGGGGCTCTTCATCAGGGACTGCAGTGACAGGACAAGGGTTGATGGGTTCAGACTGAAACAGGGGAAGTTCAGGTTGGATCTAAGGCAGAAGCTCTTCCCTGTGAGGGTGCTGAGGTGCTGGCACAGGGTGCCCAGAGAAGTGATGAATGCTCCATTGCTGGCAGTGTTCAAGGCCGGGCTGGACAGAGCCCTGGGTGATGTGGTTTGGTGTGAGGTGTCCCTGCCCACGGCAGGGGTTGGAACTGGGTGATCTTAGGCTCCTTTCCCACCCAAACCATTCCATGATCCTCTACTTTCCCACAATCCTTGGAGACCCTGCTGTCACAGAGCTGCCCAGCTACCACAGCATCCACCATCCCACCTGATGCCATGTACACGCTTGGCATGGTTTCCTCTCGCAGCATTGCTCCACATCACTTTCTGAGCGGGTCTCAAGCATGGGATGCTGCCCCAGGCCCAGCACCACACAGGGCCGGCACCTTGGCCCCCAGTCTCACCCCTGTCACCCCCAACCTGTGGAAAAGGCAGCTAAAAGCCCCACTGGCTCCTCTTGGGAGATCTCTCCGACAATGCCAAAATCCAACACTTTTCCTTTTAGGATTCTATCTTCCCTGAAGCCCAAATCACAGCTTCTTCCCTTTCCAATGCTCCCATTCTGTTTGGCTCAAACATTTCTCATGCAGTTCACAGAATCATAGAATAGTTAGGGTTGGAAAGGACCTTAAGATCATCCAGTTCCAACCCCCCTGCCATGGGCAGGGACACCTCACACTAAACCATGGCACCCAAGGCTCTGTCCAACCTGGCCTTGAACACTGCCAGGGATGGAGCATTCACAGCCTCCCTGGGCAACCCATTCCAGTGCCTCAGCACCCTTACAGTGACGAACTTCTTCCTTAGATCCAATCTAAACTTGCCCTGTTTCAGTCTGAACCCATCACCCCTTGTCCTGTCACTACAGTCCCTGATGAAGAATCCCTCTCCAGCATCCCTATAGGCCCCCTTCACACACTGGAAGCTGCTCTGAGGTCTCCACGCAGCTTCTCTTCTCCAGGCTGAACAGCCCCAGTGTTCTCAGCCTAAACAAGAGCTTCTCCCCAACAAGATCTTCTTTACAGGCTGTTTTCTCAAAGGTCGGTGCCTCTTTTTTGTGTGCATCCACCCCAAAACCCGAATGTTCCAAGGAACATCACAGAGGCAAAACTGCAGCAGAGACTGATCTCCTTGCTCAGCACCCGGAGCCCAACTGCCTTGCAAGCAGTTAAACACCCCTCCTCAGACCTCATGGTGCACCAGCAGACCTACAAGCTTCATCCCATGGGCAGAATCATAGAACCATGGAATGGTTTGGGCTGGAGAGGACCTTAAGATCATCCAGGTCCAGTTCCCTGCCATGGGCAGGGATGCCTCACACTAAACCATGCTGCCCAAGAGAGGAGCACAGACAGTTTCCCTTGGGAGCTGCTGTAATTCCTGGATGCCACTTTGCCCTACACCAGCAAAGAGAGCCTTGGTGCACAAGTCTTGCACACAGCAAAACTGCCAGGTCTGAGCCATTGGCAAGAGAATGAGGACCGCCCTCTCCCCCAGTGATTTCCAGCCTTGTGCAGGGAAAACCACCCAGCATGGTTGGGATAAAGCCCCATCGCCCTTTAAAGCTTATCCAGTTCTTCTTAAAGGTGCTAAATAACCACATCCCACCCCCATAATGGACTGCAAAAGGGCCCATTAAACACGCAAATGCCATGGCCAAAGTCACCCTAGGAAAGGATGGGTGCTCGTGGTCCCTGTCCCAGAGCTGGCATGGGTCTGCTGGGAGAACCAGCATGGGGCTGGGAGAACATCTGCATCCCTGCAGACACCGGTACCCAGGGCAACCCTCCCGGGGATCAGCAGCGCAAGGAAGCCTCCAAATCCAATGCAAAATCACCTTGGGCAGCCCAGCAGCTCCCAGCACCGCCGGCAAGCAGAAGTCACTCGCTTTACTCCAGAGCCAAGGCACTAAGTGGAGCAATGTGCATGGGTAAGGGGGGGGCACTGAGGAACCAGGGCAGCCGGAAGATCCACATCCGCCTCCCTCCATGAAATCCCTTGGGAGCACCAGCCTGGACCTGCCCCTTCAGGATCCACCTGCAGCAGCTCCTGCCTCGCAGCATCACAGAACAGGGCAAGAAGAACCCAAAAGGCAAGAGGGGAGACTGCGAGCATCCCCATGGGGGAAACCACACCCTGGGCTTTGGGATCCAGGCACCCCAGCTCCTGCTCCCCCACCGGATCCAGGTGGATGAGGCAGCAGAGCCGGGGAGCTTGAAGGGTCCCCTGGGTGGCTGCCCCATTAGGGTGCAAAGCCGGTGCCACTGCAGCAGCACCCCAGCACCCACCGGGCACCGCTGCGGGTGGGTGCTGGCCAAGGAAGGGACAATGAGGTCCTGGCAGCACCGCGAGGGGCCTGGCGATGACAAAGCACCCGCCGCGAGGGGATGCGGGCAGCAGCTCCCCGGGCTGAGCCTGGGACCAGCCACGGCCCCAGGACCCGCGATGCTGGGATCCTCCCCCAGGGCCTGCTCCAGCTGCGGGCCCGGAGCCGCCGCACTCAGCATCAGGGATGCGGGAGCAAACGCCGGACCTACGATGGATCCCGTGCCCCACACCTGCACCACTGCCTGCAGCCCACTGCCTGCACCCCACACCTGCACCCCACACCTGCACCACTGCCTGCACCCCACACCTGCACCCCACTGCCTGCACCGTGCACCTCACATTTGACAAACCCGTTTCGGGGCTGGGGTGCAATCGAGCAGCGCAATTCCAAGGGGCACAGAGCGGGTTGCGTGCAGCGATGGGGGGGATACAACGATGGAGGGGGTGCGACGAGCAGGGGTCACAAGGGGGGGGAGGCGGGGAGGATGCTACGGGGGGGGGGTGCAGGGATTGGGGTCCATTGGGGTGAGCACCACGCGGGGGGGGATGGGCGCTGCCCATGGGGGGGAGGGGCGCGGCGCTCACCGCGATCACGTTGACGAAGGTGGTCTTGCCCGAGTACTGCAGCCCCACCAGCGTCAGCTCCATCTCCTCCTTCCAGAACAGCGCCCGGAACCAGTCCAGCAGCTTATTGAAGAGCGCCAGCATCCTGCCGGGCCGGGCCGGGCCGGGCCGAGCCGAGCGGTGCCGAGCCGAGCCGAGTGAGGCCGAGCCGGGGCGGGGCCGAGCCGAGCCGAGCCGAGCCGAGCCGGGGCGGGGCCGAGCGGAGCCGAGCGGGTCCGGGCCGAGCCGATCGAGGCCGAGCCGCCGCCGCCCCGGTATTGTCCGCGCGCTGCGCGCCCTCCTGCCGCACCGCCGCGCGCCGCCCCGCGCTCCGCGCTCGCCGGGTGGGGCCCCGCGCACCGCCCGCAGCCCTCCCGTACTCTGCCGCCCCCTGCCGGATGGGAGGACCCCATGCACACACGGAGCGGGATGGAGCGGCCCGGTACCGCTGGTACTCCCGGGACCCTGCATCCGGCACCCTGCATCCAGCACCCCGGCACCCCTGCATCCTGCATCTTGCACCCAGCACTCCTGCACTCGACAACCCTGCATCTGGCATCCCTACATCCAGCACCCCTACATCCAGCACCACTGCATCCAGCAACCGGCACCCCTGCATCCGGCATCCCTGCATCCAGCACCCCTACATCCAGCACCCCTGCATCCAACACCTTCCACCAGGGACCCCTGCATCCAGCACCCCTGCCTCCAGCACCTCTGCACCTGGCAACCCTGCATCCAGAACTCCTGCATCCAGCAACCCCAACACCCATCACCCTTACCTCCAGCACCCAGCACCCTTGCATCCAGCACCTCTGCATCTTGCACCTTGCATCCAGCACCCCTGTACTCAGCAGCTCCAGCATCTGGCACCCCTGCATCCAGCAACCCCAGCACCTGGTACCCCTGCATCCGGCACCTCTGCATCCAGCAACCCCAGCACCTCTGCACCCCAGCATCCCCTGCACTCAAGTGCCCCAGCACCACTGGACCCCTGCAGCATAAACCCTGGTATCCCTGTACCATGCAACACCCCCCACCCAGCACCCCATTGCCCCCAGGACACTTGCACCCCATTTCCCCTATACCCAGCACCATATGCCTCCAGCACCCAGCATCACTTCTGCACCAGCAGCCCCTCTGTGCTCAGCACACCCACACCCCCTTCACCCTATGCCAGCAGTGCCTTGCACCCTGCTGTGTCTGGCACCGACCCTGCACCCTGGAACAGCACCTCTGCAGCTCCCAGCACAGCTCCTCCATCCTTCCTGTGCCCTTACACATCTGCTCCCTGGTCCCCAGCTCTCCGTGCATGAGAGGGACCACGATGTCACAAGAAATGAGGAGCAATTTCCCATGTGCAGAATGAGGCACAGCCCAAAGACACCAAACTGTCTGCAAGATGTTTATATACCCTGCTGCAACAGCAGCATTTAGAGACCAGGCTGGGCCCTGCAGCCTCAAAACACCCCCATTTTCACCCAGCTAAGCTCAGCTGGGCTGCAAGGGGGTACTAAACTGCTCCTGCACCTTAGGTACATGCGCAGGCTCTGCTTTCACTCTGCTTTGCGCTTCCACACTGATGCTGAGTGCTCAGGGCAGCCCACAGCCCAGCTGTGCAATACTGACATGGCTCAGTTACATCCAGGCTGGATCTGATCCAGTCCTAAGTGAGGGCTGACACACAGGGGGCACTTAACCTGCCTGAGGGGAGACTGAGCTGAGCTCTTAGGCAGAAGCTCTTCCCTGTGAGGGTGCTGAGGCGCTGGCACAGGGTGCCCAGAGAAGCTGTGGCTGCCCCATCCCTGGCAGTGCTCAAGGCCAGGTTGGACACAGGGGCTTGGAGCAAGCTGCTCCAGTGGAAGGGGTCCCTGCCTGTGGCAGGGGTTGGAGCTGGAGGAGCTTTAAGGTCCCTTCAACCCAAACCAGGCTGGGATTCTGGGGGTTGCAATTTCCTTGCCCCAGGATGAAGGGGCAGGGCCTTTATTCCAGCAGCATTGGGGAGAGCCCACACGTGGAGGTTGCTCATGGTCCCACAAGAGAGCAGGATGCTGGATGCACTGCTGGGGCTGCCTGAGGCAGATGTACACATAGAGGATAGAGAAACCGAGCTATGGCTGGGTCTGCCTCGCAGTGGGTATCTCAGAGCCCGTGACAACTGATGATGGGAAAGGGTTTCCATCACATGCTGTAAGTCACTGGGAAGCTGCCTTTGGTTTTGGAGGCAGAACCCGTTTTGCTCTCAGAGGTGCTGCAGCCTGCTAAACATCCCCATGCTTGCAAAGGTAGGCTTAAGGAAGCAGGAATATCATTGCTTTTGGTGATGACTCCATCGCAGCTCCTCTTCGTGCCAGTGAAGACCTCATCATTGCCCAATTCCTGGGGCAATCCTGCCTGAAGATGGGGTTTCTCTAAAGAAAACCCAACAGATTCCAGCCCAGGGAATGGCCCCACACCAGAGCAGGGCCTCCCTCCCAACACGCCTGTGGCATCCCAGTTGGTAGCAGAGATTGCCTCTTGATAGCACATGTTTTACTGCACAGTCTCCATGGACCGCTCCAGGACCTCCCCAGACAAGAGCATATTTTACATTCCCAGCACGTTTCAATGTGGTTGCTCAACCAAGTTCCTTAAAGAAACTGAATCCCGGTCACAAGGGTAGGAAATGCAGGACCAGCCTGGGAAGCCCCAGGCCAAAATGAGAGTCATGGGGATAAAGGTTTCCTGAAGCCTGGGCAGGATCTGACCTCCTGGGGATGTAGTTAACAGGAGTCTGCTGGCCAGGGCCCCCAGTACTGGGGCTCCCTACCTGGTTGTCTGGGCTGCATCCCCAGCAAGGCTCAGTAACACCATAAGAAGGAAAAACCACATGGGTCAATAGCACACTTTTAAGGGAGAATGAGGAACAGGAGCAGCCTTGACCCTGCTGAAACCCCTGGCAGCCAAGATGAGGGGGAGAAGCAGGGCATCTGGGAGGGACTCCTCTCCTTTGCCTGCTGGGCACCCCATGGTCTTTGTGGGCAGGGTGAAGCAGCTTCCCAGGGCTGACACAGCCAGCCCAGCCCAAAGAGCCTGCTTCACCGAGTGAACCCTGGGATGGGGTTTTGCAATAACACATGCAATAGCCCAGCATAGCCCCGAGGAATGCTTGGGAAATCAATAGAGAGAGGATGGAGAGATACTGAGATAGTGCAGAGGTAATGGCCTGATAGAAACGGAGATTGAAGGACAGCAAAACTGCTTAACTGGTCATCACCTGCATCAGTGAGAGCTGATGGGGAGCAGTACCCCTGCCTGGCTGCCGGTCCCAGAGATGCTCCCGTGTGCTCCTTCAGGGTCCCTCACACCGCTCTTGCTGCCCTAACAGCTCTCCCCTTGATAATAAACCACAAGCATGAGAGCAATGGTGCCTGTCCTGCTGGGCAAGGAGCACAGGAAACGGCTGGGCCTTGGTACAGTTTGCAGGCTCAGATGGTGACGTGGGGAGGAGGATGCTGTGGGCACACTGAATAAAGCCATGCTCAGTGGCACGAGGAAGGGTTGACCTGGCATTGGGCATGAGGAGATGGGGAGATTGCTGCGCCAGGGAGATCCAGATGCTGAAAAGGGCAGGACATGGGTTGAGATGTGGGGTTTTTCCTGCTGCAGGACAGGGAATGGGTCTGCTCCTGGTGATGGGCTGTGCTAGCAGAGGGGCTCTCGCTATTCATCACTCTTCCATCCGCTCCTTGCAGTGACCAGATGCTTAACATGGCTTTATTTTATAGTGCCCTGGCAAGTCCTCTATCCAGAGAGTCTGCAACCACATGGGAATGACTGATAGGGACTACCAGGGCTCAGCAATACATTATAATTGCTGTGATACTGGATATTTTTGCACAGTGCTTGGTCTGCCATTGGGTTTGCTGCTTAAGGCCAATGAGAACAAGGAGAAGCAGCTGCCTTTGGCTCAGGACCCATCCCTGAGCAAGGCTCACTTGCACACTTGGGCAGCCGCTCAACTGCACCTTGGGTACCACAATGTGGTGGAGGGGGGTCCATGCACACAGCCCTGACCTGGGGATGCTTGGGGCAAGCTCAGGCTCTCTAAGCAATAAGATTTACCCTTTTTTTTCCCTGTATCTCATTCACTGAGTGGATCACATCAGGGCTCGTGGGCACAGGCAACCCCCAGCTCCTTGTCAGTCGTTGCCCCAGAGGGTGTGCAGCATCCCTCAGCTAAAGGCCAGGCTTGAATAGCTTTGATGTATTTTACCAACTAGTTCCATCTCTATGCTTTGTGCCAAAATGTTCCTCCCTCTTCTTCCTCCCTCCCCCCCCCCAATTTATCAGTGAAAAATCCCCACAAAACCCAAATATTTTGCTCTGATTTCAGCCAAAAGCCCCAACAACTCAAACCCTCCTCCCTGTGTAACAGAAGGCGATTGGGTACGCATCGCTTGTGGGGCTGAAGATGCACGTAGTGGGTACGCATCGCTTGTGGGGCTGAAGATGCACGTAGGAACCTCCCCTACGTTAAGGGTGTTGAGAAGGTGTTGGCTGAAGGTGGAGAGGGAAACAACCAACTGCACCCCTCTTGTACCACATCACCAAGGGTGTCTTTAGTAAGAAGAGCATCGCAGCGTGTATTGGGAGCAAGCCCATCCCTGCCCACAGGTGATGGAGCTCTGGTTACTTGCAGGGTGATTCTGCCAACTCTGGGTCTCACGGGGTGAGCATCCCCATGGAGCTAGAAGGCAAAGAGTGCTCCCGGTGCTCACCCGGCTTCAGCTCCTCTGCACTGCTTGAGGAGGTTCCCATTGCTCCTTTCGAAAGCCAAAGCCTCTTTCCATAGGTGAAATCTGCCTTGAGCCAGCAGCAACGGGCACAAACACCCACTGTATCCCTCAGGTGCTCGTCCCCAGGGGTTTGCTCATCCTGAGGGATGCTCTGGTGGGAGTCAGCAGCATCCCTCCTCCACCAGCTGGGAAGCGTAGAGAGCCAGTGTGTGATGGAGGAACTGGTACTGCTCGCTCGTCTGGATCATCCCGCCTCTGCAAGGGAAAGGCAGGCCCCACTGACACCTCCCAGAGCCCACAGCCCCATCCCTGGCTCCCTGCTTCCAGGGCACAAACGTTCCTGCTTCACCCACCACATCTGGAATAGGCACCAGAGCTGTCTGAAGTGTTCAGGCTCAGACTGTGCACAATGCAGATCAGCAACTGA